TTCTTTAGCTTACATGGCACACTTCCGGGAATTACACTTGAGCTCCCCAGGGAGAACACAGTTCACTGCTTCCACCTTACCTGGATTTAAATAAGGGATTGGGATTTCTCCAAAGTTGGCAAACAATTCCCTGATGCAAACAGGAATAGAATTTACAAAGTCTTGCTTTGTCTTCCTGTTTTCTACCCCTCCTGCATCTTCTTTCCCCACTGCCCAGGAACTGCTACGCTCCGAAAATTCTTCACTTCCCTCAGGGGTTTCCTCAGAGTTACAACCATCACTCAAGCAGCCCCAGCTTTGCCATCAACTGCTGTCGCAGTTCCTTTGGCCACCACACAACTCCAGCCAAATCTCCCCAAACACTCAGGAGTGCAAGCTGCTCCATTTGTAGCACTGCAGTTGCTCTGTAAGTTTTTTTTCAGCCAGGAATGCACTGCGTGTGAAAGTAACTCTTGCAATGCTGTTGTAGAGATAACAGTTTGGTTATGCCTCAAAGGTACTCTTCTACTACCCAGAGCTGAAACCTGTTACTTCAGAGCTGCAAAGGAAGCAGACATGACCAGGTATCCACAAGAGCACCACAGAGATTCCAGAACAGTCTCTGAAGTCCTGATATTCATTATCATAGCTAGAAGAAAAAAACGAAAATGCTGTGTCTGAGTATTTCATCCAATACAAAGTAAACAGTTTTTCTTCCACAGTTTATGGAGGCACTTTGGGGGAAGCCCATGTTAGGAACCGAAGAGGAATTCTTGAATTAGCTGGAGCCATCAGATGCACTACAGGGCGGTCTCCTTTTGCCTACCTACGCTATGGGTGCTACTGCGGCCTGGGAGGAAGGGGATGGCCCAAGGACAGAGTGGACTGGTAAGCATAACTTCTTATCTGGGTAGCAAAGTGCTGAACGCTTGCAAATACCACAGCAAGAAGTCTGAATTGTCAGTTAGGCCCAGTTAACGTCAACGTGGAACTGAGTTTAAACACAATTCAGAGTGCTAAGAAATGGTGAAGCATTAAAATGGCATTGGTGTAGATCTGTGCGAGTCTTCAGCTGAAATTCTTACCTTGCCAACACTGGCCTCACAGTACAACATAGTTTCCTAGCTGTTACTGCTTGGCCAAGAGCTGAAGAACTAAAGACTTCTTGGAGAAGTTTTAAAAGCACAAACATTCAGTCTATTAAAAAAAAAAAAAAAGTCATTGAAAAAATCTTTTTATTTTAGTTCTGCTCAGCCCACTCTATTAGTATTCAAAATAAGACACAAAACTGTGAAATTCAACCTGATAAAAATAACATTTGAGTGAAAGTAATAACAAGTTCTTATGAAAATGAGCATGAAAAACAGTCCTCATATTTAGCACTAGGTCTCATTGCACTGACTGGCATTAATTTAATTTATAATTGAACATTAGCTGACAGGAAGATGATTTCCTGGTGACAACAGTTACATAAGGGTTCACATTTTCAAGCTTACCATTACAGTGATCCACCTCCCCACCACACACTGCAGCTCAAGTTCCCACTTAGCAGACAGGTACTACTGTAAATCAGAAGGAAAACACCTGATGTTTACCATTAGAGCAGAACATACAGAAAGCCAGTATCTGAAGCTTTTGTGGTCAGACCTTACACCTCTAGAGCCTTTGCCAACGTATTTCAGGCCTTTGGGTATAAAATGCTATTATTCTTGAGGCTGCTACTTTGATGGCTGGAACACATAGGAAAAGAAGGCCCAGTTCTTGGTCACTTACATATCTGAAGATAAGGATGGAGCATCTGCAGTTTGCCAGTCTTGCCTTGTAGGTCTGATTTTCACTTCTGTAAAGTCCCATGGTAACAAGAAGGCTCCTCTCAGAGCACGGCTCATTATTTGTGGCTGGGTTTTAGCAGCCACATGGCACTAAGAACAAGGTAGAAGTGAGCATGTTTACTCTGCTTCTGCATTTGATCAGGAACAGTGCTAATTAACGCGTAGCATCAAACGCTCTCACCAAGTATTTCTTAAAGTTATAAGCTGTCCTGTGGACTGCTTACATTCAGAATTCGATCTGCTAACAAGTAAATTATTCACATAATAGTTACTGCCTCTTAAATGTATCCCTATCACTTATAAACGTGCACATGGAGACAACTGCTTTCTGTATTGCTTTTACAAGACAACATCTAAAAATCCAGAAACATACGTTCTATTCTTCAAAGGCTTAAAAGCTATTGTAAAAAATTAAGCCATATTTTTGTAGACTACCATTTTTTGTAACCACATGAAGACTGGCACAAAGCTGTGGCAAAAGCAGCCCTGTTGCTGGGTCATTCCTGTTAGTCCTGCTACCAACGCTCCGAGTGCAGATTTTTGATTGTTTTTTTTTGGAAGACTTATTCCTACCTAGAATGGATGCACTGAGCTACTTCACAGGCATTGTGATGGTCAACTGTTCAGCACTGCAGGATGTTGAAATGAAGATTGGTAATCATTTAATAAGCATGGGGAAAAAAAAAAAAGTAGTAATTGCAAGTGGGAAAAAGTGCTGTGAGCTCTATTGCAGACAAGTTCCTCAGGCAAGCTGAGCACCACCTAAACATCACATGCCTACAGTAATACGATGCTTTTAGGCGGAAATGGAGTGACTGAATACAAAGAGCTCACTGATACATCCTGTTCTTCCACTGAGTCAAAAAGAGCAGCTGGTTTGCAGTAAGACATCTGGGGTGATATGCTATGGCCTAACAGGTCCGCTGTTAGCAACTGTTACAATAACATCAATAATTGGAAGAAAAATAAGGCAGTTATTATCTGGCAAACTGTGCTGGTGTTTAATCATCACCTAGAGAGATGCTGCAGAAAGGACTTACCTTCTGAAGTAGTTACTTTATTGCAAACTGAAAACATTTCAGATTCTCATGGATGAAAACACAGGGGAAGTTCAAGGAGTTCAACACGTAGCAGACACTTCAATCACAATACAGGCAAAATGTTCTTCATCATACCTACTAACCAATTACCTTGTTTTGATTCCTGAGTAGGTAACTGTTTGCATGGATTATTTCATTCCTATCACCTATAGAAACGTCCCACTCAAAACCATCCAGATACGTGGCTGTAAATTACCACAGCATGCATTAAGGCAAGCCCGTTTCTGTTATTCCCAGGTGCTGCTTTAACCACGACTGCTGCTACGGTAAGGCAGAGCAAGCAGGCTGTCACCCCAAGATAGAAAGTTACCACTGGGAATGCGAGGACAACACTGCTGTGTGTGGTGAGTGGACAGCTCTGGTTGTGAGTTTAGTGTGACTTGTACCAATCGTCTCAGGGACTTCACAGAAAGACATTCATTAACTAACCACAAAATCCTTACTCTGCCCTCCTTCCATTTCTGACTTCTTTGCCAGAGCAGGCTGTGTTTCCAGGAAGTACGGCTCTCCAACCGAATCCAATTTCCTCTTCTAAATTCCCACTTGCTGACACACAACCAGAATTCCAATCTGCAAGTTTCCAGTACTCTTTCAGTAGCACTAAAAATCCGGACCAAACGCACAGCACTGAAATGACGCTGGCCACCTTTTCACTCCAGCTACAGACAGCTGCCGTGTATGAGGCAGCCCACGTTACACCACACCCTACACCACACAGACCCTCTACTCGCTAATTTCCTCCATTGCTCCGATCCTTTAATTTCTTACTGAATTCCCTAATAAAGAGGAAGTGGCAGTAAGCAAGGGGAGGTGGGATTTAAGCTGAAAATGGAGCATTCTTGCATCCTTTATTTCACATATGCAATTTTTAACGCTACATCCTGTAACAGATCAAAGTGCACGTGAAATGGAAACGTTTTTCCCTATTTCTGCCGCAGAAGGACATGCAGGAGGGGTACCCACCGCTTTCCAAAGAGGAACTGTTTATCAGAGTTCCTTTTGAAAGGCACTACAGATGTTTTGCTGAAGCAAACCATGCTTATGTATCCTCTGTTGCTGAGCTGTCCTTGCATGGAGCTCAGTCTAAAGATGGAAGAATTCCTAATACACGAAAGCAGTGCATTACTAAAGCTTAGTGCAGTTCCTATTGCATTTCAACTACAAGAGCAAAATGAAACATTACTGCTGTTCTATGAAAGGTAATGAACACTATATGGTGAACGTGGGAGGCAGTAATTGTACTTTCATTGGGTATTTTTATTATTACTACTTCAAACTAGAATCAAACCTACTTTGTTTTCTTTCAGAATCACTAGAAGACAAGTGTCAAAAAATGGCATGTGAATGTGATCGTGAAGCTGCCAAATGTTTTTCTAAAGCTCCCTACCATACCAAGTACCTCCTGTGGCCAGATATTATGTGCGGTGAGGTTCAACCTTTGTGTAGATATTAAATACACAACATCAGCCCCTATGAAAACTCTGTACTTACTCGAAATCTGCAAAGATGGCTTTTGTCACAGTAGTGATAGGAAATGATTTTTCTCTTTCTCATCCTTCCCTCCTGCCACTCCTCTGCCTTAGAATGGCCAAAGTAAACACTTCTCTTCTTATTTACTTTCTACAATACATGGACAAAAACCAAGTTCAGCAATTTGGTTTAGGCTTTTCTTTACTAAGCTCAAATTCTTCTTTAGTATTTATCAGTTTAAGGTGTAATTGACTGATTTGTCTGAATCACAGAATGGCTTGGGTTGGCTACCTTTCCCATCAGAGTTTGATCTCACACAACAGCAGTTTGCACAGTTCAGGAGCTTGTAACTCACAAGGACACAAAAATGGCTTCAGCTTGTTTCCATAGTTTTGGGAGACATTTTAAGAAAAGGAGAAGTCAGTAACAAAACTACTGACAAACACGTTTTTCCGTAACCGATAACTTTAACAGCTTAAGAACAAGGAATGGTTTATCTTCATCCACCTCAACTTATTTGTAGTGAGAGGAATACAAAACAAGTACAAGAAATGCAAGTCAAAGGTCATGTCAAATACTTTGATATAAAATAAATAAATGAAACTTCTTCAGGAAGGACTATGATTTAAAATGATATCTTTAATCTTTAAAAAATATTCGTAGGCAAATTTAAAGCTCATAGTCATGATACAAATGCAAAAGCAAAACCAAAAAAACCTCACAACACATAATGAAAGGTCAAAAACCTTACATCAGTAAGTGGCAATCCATTTATACAAAACAGTCCATATCTCCACTCAGTGTTCATTCACAGACCTAAATACACACCTTTCATTGCAGTAAGGCACAATTGCAGCGTCAGGTCACTTATCCAAAATAATCCTTTTAAGAGCTCATTGTGAATTTAAGGATTAGCAACAGATTTTAAGAGAGCATTAAAGAAGCTGTTGATGAATTCTAACTGATCTGAACAGAACAAAAAAATAACATGTGAACAGCAATTGCCATACTTTCCATAGGCCAAAGCTTGGTCTTTGCCATCTACGTAGGGAATTTTAGAACAACCTCACTGTGCATTTCTCAGTCAGAACTTCACACGTAAAGCAGGCTGAAAACACCAAAGTACTTCCAATATCAAGCCTATCCTTTCAGCTTTCCTTCGGCAAACTCAAGTTCTGCACAACACACTGCTGGTGTGGAACAGTAAGTTGAAAACATCACCACAGCTTTCCAGAAAACACTGATTTTATGACAGAACAAAGAAGCACTGTTTGATCAAAAATACAACTTAACTAAGTTTCAAGTGGCTAAATCAGGAATATATTTGTTTTTATTAACTACAAAAATCACTTGGGGTAATAAAGCCCATCCTCAGACTTGGAATCAGCTGTTCAACAGTAACTTACCTCAAGGCTTTTTCATATGTTTAAGTTAATGTAATCTACTTTCACTGCCACATTATAAAAGGAAAATAAAAACACAAACCAAAGTTTCTTTTGAAGTAAGCATTTTTGGAAACTAACCAGCTCAAAAGTTCGATGTCAGTCATTGCACTTGTGTCTCCAGACGCCTTACTTCTTTAACTACAAGATCAATGTTTATAATTGGGTTGAAGTACAAGGCCCAGTAAAAAAAACAATTGCAGACAAACTGAGGAATAACAGGCCAAAAAACTGCAACAAAAAGACCCTGGGTTGAGACTTTCCAAAAATGTTTCCACATTCTGTGAGGAATAGTCCTGTGGAAAAGGAAAGGGAGAGGCTCAGAGGCTTTACTTTTAACCATTCTAAGACAAGCTAGTGTGTGTTTTAGCCTCAAATTATTTCACACCTACTCAAGTTTCTTACAAAAAACAGAATTCTTCACTCCACAAAAACTTACTTAAAACACACTAATATTACTTTTTATGTGAGGAAGCATTATGCCAATTTATTCAGACCACAAAGCACAGCAGTTGGAAGTGGTAGAATTCCAGATTTGCCATAGATGATTTCCACACAGCCAGTTCTCTTTTGAAGATGCTCTGCCCCCTACCTGCTGGCAAGAGCAGCAACTCCATATGTGCCAAAGCAAGAATTTCTCCACAAAACTTTTAAAGAATTATAACCAAGAGATCACAGCAATTATGAAGTGATATTAACGCATTAAAGCAGCAATATCTGTCCAATTAAACATCCTTCAATAACTATCCTGTGAACAGACCATGACAGAGCTCTGACACATTTAGCTCTCAGCTGACAGCTAACACCAGTTATGCTAAGAGGCAGTTCTCAAGGGAAGAGCGAGACACCTTCTGAACAGTTAAATAAAAGCACTGCGTTTACTACATCTGATCAGTAAAACCAGCTGTAGGAAATCCTTTCAAGTATCCACAGCAACAAAAATATTCAAAAGCGAGCATTACATGTGCAGATTCGGACTTGCATCTTATTATCATTTTCAGTAAGCCCCTCATAACAGACCTATTTTCCAGTTTATAGTGTACTTCCTACATCCCTCAACAAGCTCAGTAAGACTTACTTCAATTCTCTTCTTGACCAGAGCTTCCAAAAGGAGAATAGCTCCAGAACAGAGAGTAGCATGGCATTTACAATGATAAATCTTGATGTCCAGTAGTGCACATCCAGCCAGTCCCAAGCAAATTCAGCTACCAACTGGTATGGCAAAAATATATACTTTACAATGAATTCTCTCCACTGTTTCCAAGTGGGATCTTTAAGGTCCTGTAAATTAGGATAAAAAGTGTCAAATAATTTCTTGCTAAATAGACAATACTGGCTTATTTCCACCGTTCCTTTATTGATCTTCTACTGGTTTTTTATTTGTTTAGTAAATTCAAAGCAGTAATTAATCTTTTTTATGATTTCAGTAGATAATATCGTAACCCAATAATTTCAATTAATTAGCCAAAACATGACAGCCAGCCAGACGTTATCACCCCATTTTTTCAGTGAAGATATTTTCAGTGAAAGGTCTTTCTACACTCATGTGAACTTTTTTTTTTTTTTTAAAGATAAAAAAATATGATAATAAGAAAATTAAGTTTCACAGACTTAAAACCTTAAACATCTTAAATAATCCTTAGCACAGGTTATGGTCACAACACTGCTAGTCCTGCATAATAAAGTAAAAGCAACAAGTTACTATTAAGATTTCTTTTTAAGAAGTTGCACTGCAAGGAGATGACATTATGAATAATTGCATCACACTTTTTTAAGCAACTGATTCTTAACATGCTTCAACCAAGTAGCATTTGAGCACTTACTAATAATTTTGTGACCATGTCTTCATATTGATCTTCTTGCATAGGACAAATGGTGTGGATAAAAGGTAGGAAAGCTTCAGTATAATCAAACAGATATAAGTATAACATACTGAGTCTTGGAGAATTCTTGAGTGCATACAAAAGAAAGAGTGATTTTCCTGGATTTACTGCCTGAAAAGTATCAAATTGCAAACAATGAAAAGATGAAATGAAAGGTGCATGACAGTTCTTAGACTTTTCTAACAGTCATTTCTCAAAGGATCATTTTTTCAAATACAATAGTTGATTAAGCTAAGCAATTTTCACAAAGATAATTCTACTTCCCTAACAATCCTTTCGACTTTAAGAGAGTTCTCTTTGAATTATATGACTTAAAGTCACTTAATATAGATGGTAGACTAAGAGAAATTACCTTGTACTCCCAAAGGTTCTGTGGTGGTTTAACACCTAAAGCTCTGACACATTCCAATTCTGCTGTAATTGCTTTTCTATGGTTATTGTTCTCTATACTGAAAGGCTCTTTTGTGAAATCCTCCTCTGTCAGCGTTAGAAGGAGCCTAAAAAGGCAGAAGAATTTTGAAAGCAAACAGTGACTCTACACCAGGAAGATATGACTAACAAATCAGTAACTACATACTGAAACAATAAGCTACCGATAGAAGGCATCACCTTTTGGATCACCTTTCATGTTCTGAATCAACTGCATCTCAGAAGCTGGGTTTTAAATATCCTTCTTTTCAAGTTCTCTCTTGCCTGCTCTCAGCATGCAAATGTATGAGCTTGTTGGCTATTAATGAACACAGTTCTTCAGTACATCACAGATCTAGTCTGGTCTCCTGATATCAAACCTGGAGCTCTTCGGTCGAGCGCAACAACGCATATGGCATATGCATGTTTTCACAGGAAAGAAAAGTGGAGGGGTGGATATTGCATTAATAGAATTTTATTTTCAGGACCATTTCAGTCTGCACTGTCAGTATCTAAATACGCTCTCAGAAAAACTTCAGTTAGGTTGCTAAGTATCCACTACTGCTTTCAACTACAAATATTAAATCTTCCCCTATATTTTATCTTGATACATCAACAGAATATTCCCCCCCCACTATGGAACAAAGTCTGATTATTACAAAATGCACCATGCCTAATGAAAGCCACCCAGCAATCCACTCAGATGATAGCAGCTCCTGATAATTAGACCACTCACCTTCCATTCACTTTCTCCAGCAAAAATCTTTCTTTATAAAGGGAGGCCCAAGGGCCCAGCTGCTCCAGCCAAAGCGCCACTTCTTCAGCAGTCCATTTAGCAACAGGCTTGTGGACAAGAAGATCATCTTCAAGTTCTCTGCTACTCCAGTGATACCCAAGTAGTACTACCTACATGTAAATTAAAAATAAAACAAAGGAGGTTCTTTACCTGCAACGCAAACATATTAAATCATACAGATAAACATGCATTAGGGGCTTGACATGCAAAATCTTCCATCCTAAGGACCCTACAATATTTAGGTTATAAGAAAATACCTTTTAGCCAATTTGTCTAATTTCCATTTGCTGTAAACTGAAACTGTACTCCTGGTAGACAACTCTGACACAGCGCATTCACTCAGCTCAGCTGAAGTTTCTTCTATAATGACAATCGCTTTGACATCCATAGACTTTAAGTACATTTCATTGGATACTTAACCAAGAATATGGAAGACCATCCAGATGAAACTTACTGCTACACAAGTTAAAGCTGTCAGAACGCCTGAGAAAAACCCTCTTCCTCGAGGATTAATTCTTCCTGTGTTTGGAGCCGTAGAAATCTGGTCATTCCCATATTTTTGGAAGGTTGCTAAGCTGCGCACTACATCACTGTTTTGCTGAATATCTTCTTTTCTTTGTTCAATGGCATCAGAAAACAGCCTTTCAATAACATCCCTAATGGGAGAAACACTTGTCACTGACCAATATCATCACTGAGCCTTAGCACTTAGAAAAGGAATTTATTGTAAGATTTATATTTTCCAGCTTATACCAAAGACTATCATCTCTGAAAGCAGGAAAACATTACTTATTAGCACTTGGTACAGTTTATCAACTACTTCAAAATAGCATTTTAAATATAGAGGAAGTAAAAAATCTCTCATTTAAAAACAAGTAAGTCCTTAATGCAAAAATTAGAATTGTTTGCTATGAGCATGTCCTGATAATTCAAAAATGCTAAGCAAGAGACAACATAAAAGCATCAATCCTATATCCTACTTATTAAAAATCTATTAGTGAAGGTCACTGTTTCCTTGCACCACAGGAACTGGATTGTAGGTAACTGCAGACAGCAGTTCGGTTTTTCTTGCTTTCTTCTGCCATAAGGTCACATTTCTTCCTATAAAAGATTCCTATCATAGAAAGTCCCTTTGCTATCAAGGATAATTCTAACTTAATACAAATCCCCTAAAAAGTCAGAAGGGAAAAACCAAACAAGCAACCACCATCTCACTTCTGTGCTTTCCATTTTTTTCAGAAAAAAAGGAGGGGTAGCATGAAAGACTTCAGATAAAATAAAGACTTGAATAAAATACTAAAATACCTAAGCAGACAGTTAGTTTTGCTTGGTTTAGGAATCCAAACAAACAGCAGAAAAGTATATTAAAATCACCTCAGGAGAATGTTGACTTTGGGGAATCCTTCCCATTTTTCTCTGCATTCCGGACATTCATTCTTCTTGGAGGACGCCCACCACAAGGCTAAGCAATGTCTACAGAAGCTGTGCCCACAGTTCAGGGTGGTGGGATTGACCAGAATGTCGTAGCAGCAGTGGCAAAGGAACTCACTCACTGATATCTGCCGGCCGACCTCAGGCTTAGCGCGCGCTGTAACTCCTGCCATGCTGGGTTCACTGCATAAGCTCTCATCTTCTTCCATCTTCTTTTATACCTTATGCAAGCTGGTCTTCAAATCGGCACAGCATTGCTTCTGTAAAGTAACAGGAGAGGCCTCGTTATGAAAAAAAAGTTACTACAGATGTTTAGGATTGCAAGAAGTGTATTTTTTCCATTGTAACACATTTTCTTGCTCTTGTAGTTTTAAAACTTGTTAACTTAAATTTTTCCTAAGGGAAACATCATTCCACTTTTTCAACAGTACATTCACCCCAAACCACGCTCAGAATGAGGCTCTGGGTGTAAAGCAGCGGGCTCAGCCTCTTTGCCTTTTCTTCTCTGGCGTTACGGAAAGCAAAAACGCAGCGAAAGCGAAACCGAAGGCGCCGCCAGCTCTCCGATACAGAGGCCCTTCTTCTTCTGACTACCCACAAGCAACATCAATAGAAAACACCAGAAGAGAACAAAAGACAAAAGCAAGGCCGACGTCCGCACACCGTACGGACGGCAGCGGCTCGCGGTGCGCTCAGGTACGGGCACGGGGCGAGCGGAGCCGAACCCGCCCCGAGCAGCGCCCGCTCCTCGCTGCCAGCTCGGGAAACGCGCAGGTGAGAAAGGAGCGACTGCGGCCAAAAATACCGCCCTGTTCTCTTAGCGCTCTCGCTCTGCTCTGAGGCGATCGCACCACCGCGGTAAGGCAGGCGCCGACGCCGTTACGGAACGGCCGCGCCGCACGGGCCGCAGCACACCGCGCTTATCGCAACGCCAGCGGGCACGAGAGCGGGCAGCCGGGCGGGGGAAAGGGGAGAGAGAAGGGAGAAGAGCGGGAGGATAGAGGAGGGAGAGGAGAGGAGAGCCCCGAGGCGCAGTGCCGCCCGCCGGGCCGCTCCGCAGCGCAGCACGGACCGCCGGTCTTCCGAGCGCGGCGAGCGAACCATCGCTTACACGAGGAGAAACAAAGGCAACCTTTCTGCGCGCGAGACCGTTCTTCCGCCTTCCCGAGGACACAGGCGCTAACGCTCCCGCGGACGCGCGGCCTTCCCGCCCGGGCTGCTCCTCCCCGCTCCGCCGGGACGCGCCCCGCAGTCGGCCGCCTGAGCCGCAGCCCCGGGAGGAGCCCCGGCCCCGCACCGCTCCGCACTTACCGGCGCTTCTGGGGTTCGTCCCGCAGCGCGGGGCTCGGATCCGCGCTCGGCTCCCGACGGCCGCCCCGGCTGAGCTGGCGGCTGCCCTGCGCACGCACGGCCGTCCCTTTTCGATCTTTAACCTTGTTTTTCAACGTTTTAAAAGCCACCTTCCTGGCGCTGCTCTGCGTTCTGAGTTTTCCTGAACGCGCTCGCTTCCCTCCGAGAGCACCGAGCTGCGTTTCTGTCCGTCCGCCCACCGTGCCCGAGTTATTGTCCGGCTGAGGGCTGGAGCCATGATGGCAGAGCTTCGTCAGGCTATTAGAGGCTGGCTTAACAGCAGCGGTACCCAGGATGCTGGCTCACACAGACTACTTTCACTACATTTGAGACAGCTCATATATACACACACGCCCTCACACATATTTATATCAGTGTCCCTTCCCTCACTGTATTCTTTTTCGACTACTGTCCAAAGTGAAGATTGTTTTTTTTTAAAGTGCTGACAAGGTGGATTTCTTACTGTGCAATGTAACGTGACATTTTCTTAGAGACTTGGTTCTTAGGGTGCAGTTCGCATGGTGTGAGGACCAAAACCTGTCCCAGCCTCTGCCACATGCAAAGCACAAGGCTTTGTCCCAGCTAAGTTCCAGCCTTTATTTCACACAAAGATGGAGTGCCCAGCTCATACCTCACCTCACTCTATTTGCAGTCCTCATTAAGCATATGAAGTTAATGCCCACTGAGCAGACTCTTAAATCACCCTAGCATGAAAATATGCTCCTCTTCTAGACCAGAGGAAGTTCACCTACATCCGTCTTGGCACACACAAAGAACTGGACTAAGAATATTTAGCTCTTGCTCTAGAGCCTTGTTTTTGGTATATTGTTGTTTTTTGTTTGCACTTAGCTTCACTTTGACCCTTGGTAAAGTAACAGAAAGTACACAGGTCTGATACAAGTGTGCTGCAGACTGATACAGAGGATGTGGAAACTCAGACTTTGGGTTTAGTTTACAAAATGTTCATAATACAAAAACAATGTAACTCTGTAATTAGTGATTTGACCTGCTCTCCCCCAAGGCTACTGAGTAATTTGGAAAGCAGCCAATCTTGTCTCATGTAAAAAAAATAGGACATTTAAAGATTTCAGATTACAAGCTATGTATTTGTAAATGGAGTTGCTCCAGTGTGCACATACAAAAGAAATGGGTATTTAACTCACTAGGTAAATGTTACCTTCTGAATCAGAATTCTTAATAATTCTTAATTTATTTTTAATATCCAATAGCATTTCCTTTTTATTGCAATAAACTATAGGAAGACAGTTAAGAGGAGACTATTTCAGATGTGGATCATGGCCAATAATCAATAATTTTATTTTTCTCCAAACCAGATCCTCTCAGCAAACAAAACCAAGCACACATAGCTCGGCAGTGGCAGCCTGTGCACTGGGAGAAGTTGCTCTTAACAAAGAATGGCTATTCTCCCCATGGAGACAGCTCTGCCCTCACAGCACACAGACCTGCGGTCCTGCAGCCTTGGCTTCCTGCTGCTCTGTGCCTTTGGCCCAATTCTGCAGCTAGCTCCTGGAAGCACCGCTTCTCCTCGGGCCAGGTACCACGAGCTCAGGCTCTTTTCTCACCTGACATGGTCTCTGCAGCCATCAACCTCTGGACACACACATGCTCACTGGTGCCCTGCTTCGGCTTCCAGAGCAGCAATGGATGGGAGCCAAGCACTGCCACAAGCAGATCACCCACACCTCAAAGCTTCAGTTTGCCCATTCACCACTGGTTAAGTACTGCTACCTCTAAAACTTTTGTTTCGACTCTTCAACGAGAGGCTGCAGTTTCAAGAACTTTCAAACAGTTCTTGAAAATTACGTGAGCAAGGTTAGCATTTCACATTTCAGACAAGTTACTGCAAAACAGAAGAACTCTACTATTTCAACTAACCTCCTACTGAGCACCACGTAATCCCGCAGGCGATTCGCTGCAGACATGCGCAGCATGAACCGCCCGCAGCCAGAAGGCAAAACCTCACCCAGCTCCACCGCCCAGGCCCGCAGCTCCGGCTCCGTGCAGGCGCTCGCTGCATTTGCTCTCGTTCAGCCGGAACACGACTTTCCCGGGCTGTGTGAGCCGTAACCCCGCCCGCCGTTCCGCAGAGCGTTTCAGCGAAAGCAGCTGAGGCGCCGTGCTTCGGCCGGCCTTTCTGCCGCGGGATCCTCCCTGCTCGTCTCCCGGACGGCCGTTCCCTCCCGCAGCACGGCCACGGACGCCGGGCTGGGCTCTGAGGTTCATCTGAGCTTCATTCAGCGCCTTTCCATCGGCACGGGACGAGGAACGCTCGCTGTCTCGCGGTGCTCTCCCGCCGCGCTCCTCGCACCTCCTCAGCTGACGTCCGCCACTTCTTTCCCGGAGGCGCCTGCGCCGCCCTTCCCTTCACACCGACCGCTCCCCGGTACTCCGCGCGGCGCCCGGGTCGCTCGAGGGCTGCCGACCTCTGCCGCCGATACGCAGCGGTTTCCAGCTCCTAACGGTCCGCCGCCGCGCGGCTGTCACCGCTCACACAGAAGCGGCTGGGCCGCGCTCTAGGAACGGCTCCGCCCGCGGCAAGATGGCAGGGCCTCACGTGGGCGCGCAGGAGAGGAGGGGCGGGGCGGGGCGGGGCCGGTTCCGGAAGCGCTCGGCGGCGGCGGTTGCGCGCCGGGCTCCGGGCGGGCTGGTGCGGGTGAGGGATGGAGGTGATCAGAAGCAGTGAGTGACCGGCTGCGGGCTCCGAGCAGTGCGCGGTGTTCCCCGGTGACCCCGCTCCCTCCCCCCGGGCCGGCGGCAGGCTCCGGCCTTCGCCTCAGGGATGCCGGGCGGCCGCGCTGCTCCCGCGCCCTGCGGGCCGGCCTGAGCGGCGGGCGGGAAGGAGGGCTGAGCGCGGGCTGAGCGCGGCGGGCGGCCCCGGCCGGTCGCCTCAGGTGTGCTTTTACCTCTTGCTGCAGATTTTAAGGATAACCTAAGCAAAGTGTACGAAGCTGTCGAAGAAGCGGACTTCCTGGCCATTGATGGGGAGTTCTCAGGTACGGCCGCGCGCTCTGTGAGCTGTGGGCCGTATCGTGTGGTAACGGAACGCGGCCGAGCGTTTGGCTTAGACAAGCGGCAGAGGCTGCTGGTGTGCCTTGTGTGCGGTGGTGGGGCTTTGGTCGAGGAAATGCATGTCTGTGTGCCGTGGAGTCGGAGAACGGTCTGTTGTGGTCGCGGTTCTTCTCCCGCCCGCGGTGATTTCTGGTGTCGCTTGGTTGGTTGATTCTCAGCTGCAGCTGTGCCTGTGTTGTGCACGCAGGAGGTTGGGAAACATAAGGGAGGTCCTGCCTGTGTTTGCACAGGGAGAGCAACGGAAAGAACTCTGACATTTCTGAGGCCTGGGGGTCTGTGCGTCAGAGAACCTGCAGTAAATGTTCTGGCTGTGGGATGAAGTCAATTCAGCCAACCACAAAGCGAGTGTGAGCAGAGCTGCGTTTGTTAGATGTGCTGCTTTGGGGTGCATGGCTGCTAATTGGTGTTGCATCGGATGTTTAAGTCGTCCATCAAATCTCTATGCCCTACTCACGTTTTTCGTTTGACTTTGAACCACTGCTGTGTTGTAATGTCAGCACTGTGTTTGTGTCACACAGAATGAGAACCATGCTTTTAAAGCAAGGCTTTAGTGTTAGAACTGCACATTCTAGTTAGACATATTTTATGTTTGAGACTCATGCTTTTACACAATAGAAAGCTTCTCTCGACTGACGTCTTACCAGTTGTTGCATTTCTAGCTGTGGCTAATTTTCAAAAGCTTACCCTAAGCTCTGCTTTTTCAGGGATCAGCGATGGGCCTTCTGTTAGTGCATTAACCAATGGCTTTGACACACCAGAAGAACGGTATCAGAAACTTAAAAAGGTAAAGTGTTCACCATGACAGAAATGAAAGTGTTGCAAAAAGTTAGAACTCTAGTTCAGCAAAGAGGCAGTGCAGCACAGTATGATAACTGGAGGTCTGTAAAATTGAGTTACCTGTGTGAGCTGACAAAGAGTTGCTTGTTTTATTGTTTCTGCTAGCACAAGTATTGGGGAAAGACGTAGAAAACCTGATGAAGTTGTGGGAAGAGCAAACCAAGGAGTGTGATTTTTCGTGTAAGTTGTAGTAGATCTGTTGAACTTGTTGTCAGAGAATGTTGAGGGTGTTAAAAATTTTTGGTTCAAACTGGGACTTGGTAAGAGAAAGTCAGTGACAGAGAAGCTACGTCAGAATGAGGGTCCTTCCTGAACAGCCTCTCCTCCATCAGAATGTACTGTCTCTAACAAAATCAAAATGCCAGCTGTCACCATCACACACACAAAATACAAAAAACAGTCCAATGGCCATGGGAGACAACGTGTGTGAGGTTAAAGCTGTGATGATTTGGGTTCTCATGCTCCCATCCGCAGGGCTCAGAAAAGTGCTAAGCATGGCAGCAGTACTGTTTTCTGATGGCATCCATGGAGTTTACGCTGTTTACTATTATTCTGTTAAGAGACATTCAAGGACTAAACACTGCTAACTGTTATTCTGCTAACAGGCAGTATTACAGTATGAGAGACATAGTGGTTGGTGTTCCTATTGTTCCTCTCCGCTAGAGGTGGCCATTGAGAAACTGTGTTTTCCTTGTGTTTGAAAGAGCTGTTTAGCCCTCCAGATGAGCGAATCAGTGCAACTAGAAGGCTTCTTTATTTTCTTATCCACTTACAGCAGTGTTAAAATCCTTTCCAGTGTTAATTCAATGATTGTGAAACAGTCGAGGACACCATGATAAAGTGCCTAGCAGCTATGCTAGCTCTTATATCGCTGTTAGCCATGTCAATTAGAAGACTATTTAGTGTCATTATATGTATTTGGAAGCTACACATGTCCCTCACAAAGTGTTCCCACATTACATGGAATGGAAGTGAACACTGAGAATTGCTAGCTGCTTTAGATGCAGTGTGTCCTCCTGGTGTGAGTAACAGCTGGGGAGATATGGGAGTTCCTTTAGTTCTTGTGTATTTAGGGAATGAAAATTATTACAGACTGTATTACAGATACAAAATATATACAGAGTGTATTACAGATGATTGTTGAACAAAAGTAAGATGATAAATGGGAATGAAGGCTAGATAAAAAGATCTAGTCCATTTACTAAAAATTACAGAATGTGTATTGATTGTGAAGATGCAGACTAGGTTAACTCTGAAATGAAGCTGTTTTTGAATGTATACCACTTTCGTTCTCATGCAAAGTTTTCCTTACCTTTTCAGCATTCCATGGATTTTTTGCTCTTTCAGTTTGGCCTTTGCACTTTTAAATATGACCACACAGAAGAGAAGTATGTAATTCTCTTATTCCTTGTGTTGTTCACTGAGGAATTTATGAAGTAATGTTGATAAACTGCATTGATGTGCAACTCATCTTTTTCACAGGTATATTATGAAGTCATTTAATTTCTATATTTTTCCAAAACCCTTTAACAGAAGTTCACCGGATGTCAAGTTTGTCTGTCAGGTTAGTAGAAAAGTAGACTTTATTTTTTTTACTTGGCTGAGCTATGCCTGCAGAAAATTCCTAAGCAGCATTTTCAGGAAGATCAGTACGACCATCGAGAGAGAGAAGTGGTTGGTTCCTTAACAGCTTAGAAAACAGATAAGCACAAGTTTTTGGGTTTGGTTTTGTTTTCTTAGATAAGAAGTAAAAAACGTCGGTTAAGAATAATCCCCAAAAGTGAGCTTCAAGACAATATTTGTGACTTAGTTTTAAAATCTTGGAGCTAATGTTCCAAATCTGGCAAGATCATTCTAATTTTTTCCTTGTCTGTCTGCTTGTTTCTGTGCTTTTCCCATTTGGTCCTCTATTCCCAACTGCTGTTTCAGTTTCACTGCTTCCCGGGCTATTGCCAGCATTTTTCTGCTCTCAGGTCTGTTCTCCTGTACCGTGTTTTTCTCTTTCCCTTCCTCGCTCCATGTCACTTGTTCTTTCATCTTATCAGTTCTTATTGCGTATGTGGAAAAAAGTCATAAATGTAAGCAGAAATTTTGAGATTAGCACTTTGAGATTAATATTTGAGGAAAACCTAGAATACAATCTGCTTAAATGTTGCTTTTAACTGAATTGCTGATACTTTCTACCCAACCTGATACAGCAGCAGAGATTTCTTTCCGTACGTTTGTTTTTCCCTGTGATAAAGCAGTGTATGTATTTAGTGAGGAAAGCTGTAATAAAAGATAATACAAAGAAGTAGAGTCTCAGATTATTTTAATTCAAGGATATGAAGTTGTTTTCTAGTCAAATTTTTTGTTCAAGCAAAGCAAGCAAATGTCAAAACATAGTGAAAGAAAACCTCCCTGTTCCTTCAGGGAGCTGAGGACGATGTTCTCGTGCAGCCAGACTTGCTGCTTGTCCTGAATGTGCATTTTTGTTTTCTTTTTCCTGGGATTTGAGACTTACTCTCAGAAATTTAGTTGTTTCTTTTGTTGTTCTTATTTTAATTATATCTCTACCATGTTTTTCATCTAGCTGTGCTTTGCACTCAGGCAGATCAAGAAGCACTCGGGAATTAACCTGTCTCCTAGACTGGGATGTTTACTTTGATTTTTAAGCTCTAATAAATGAACATGAGTGCTCCTTAACCAAGTGTTTAAACTGAAGCTGTGGATAACTATTCTAGGCTTAACTGCACTGAGCAGTGCTAAAGAAAGTTTTGGGCTGTCTGTGTTAAGACCATATTGTATAGTCTTATACAAGGCAGGAGAGAGCCTGACCCTCTGTGCTGCTAAGACTGAAGTATTCTCTTTGTTGGGCTTTACTGTCTTGATTCAGGAAACAAAGTCAATCAAAAGTTTCCACAGCAGTTCCAGTTGAAGCTAGCGTGTTTTCACCGGCTTGTTATCGATGCACCAAATAACTTCAGACTGAGCACGTGTCACATTAACTTGGAGGGACATTTAGGGCTAGGGATGCCTTGTGAAAATTGAAAGTAAGTGACAAAAGTGACATGGTTTAAAGTGGATCTGCGTTCTTTAGGCTCACAAACTTACTTGCTTCTGGCTCTGAACTTACATAATTTCTGAAAAGCTTAAATTTTCAACAATAATTGGTCTTTGTGAGACACTGATGCTCTTGCCAATTGCGAACTTATATTCTTTTGTTGCAGAGTTCAAGCATAGATTTTTTAGCAAACCAAGGATTTGATTTTAATAAAGTTTTTCGCAATGGTGAGTTGTTTTTCTTTTTTCCCTGTTCGTTAAATTCACGACATCTTCATTTTCTGCAGAAACAAGAAGGCAACTAAGATGTTATTCTCTTAACAATGGAATTCTCTAAGAGTAATTCTGAATTACTAAACTCTAAGGATAATTCTGAATTATTTGTATCTGATTCTAGACTTATGCTGATAATTACCCTTCAAAGGTCAGTTCTGTGGAATTAAAATGAATAGAATTCATGCTTAGATAAGTACTTGGTAGGTTTTTGTTTTTTTTTTACCGATTAAACATGGATAAGGGTAACAAATTGCATGGCAGGATAATGGAACAGTTGTCAGGCCTTTTTAGAAACGTTTTAGCAAAGGTGTCTGTGCTTTGGAATTGATGCCGCTGCGGTCTGTTATGAAAGCAGCGCAGGTGTTGAGGAAGAGAAGTGCTCAGTATTCTGGTGATTGCCATCTGAATGTCTGCCAGTCTCAGGCTCGTGCTTTATGCAGATGAGGCATACAGCTCTTAAGAATCTAGTGGTACCAGCTCATCTGTTGTGTGGTAGAAGAATGCTTTTATACCTGCAATATTAATTAATTAATTAATACCTGCAAATTAAGAATGAGCTCTAGAGCAGGAGATCTGAAAGGTCGAGATGTGTGTTCAGCCTCCAGGGGTGTATTGTGGGCAAACACTTGGTTAGTAACAAGTCTTTGCTAAATCATATGTCCCTAATGTACCTGTAATTATGATGAGTTTTGGAATGTCTTTTTCAGGAATTCCATATTTAAATCAGGAAGAGGAAAGACAGTTAAGAGAACAGTATGATGAAAAGCGTTCTCAGGCCAATGGTGCAGGATCTCTCTCCTATATTTCTCCTAATGCCACAAAGTGTCCTGTTGCAATTCCTGAAGATCAGAGAAAATTCATTGATAAAGTAGTGTAAGTAAAAATTGTTTAGTAGTAAACTGGAGTTCTATTATACAAATGGTAACATCACAATAAATTATATCTTAAAAAAAAGAATTCCTCTCCTGCTATTTATGATGAAATATTCTGTGAAAGGAAGGAGAAGTTTGAAAAAATTCATTATGAGGTTTTTGTTTGGTAAAAATCGCTTTAGTTGTCCATCAGCACAAGGAGGAATTAGATTTCTGTGTTACTGCTGTTCTTAAATCTGGTAGAAATCTTTCCAAAGCAGGGCAGAATTACAGGAAGGAACAGTCCCCCAAGACTTTTATTCAGTCTTCATCTGGCTGGCTTTACTTAATGGTTTTAAGTAGAAAAAGAGACGTATCCTGCTGCTATTGGGATTGTTCAGTGCTTCTTTATTGCATCTTTCTCCAGATGTTTTTGAAACAAAAATGTGAACAATAGTGCCATGTTTGTATGTTGAAGGCATTTTTATTAGTTCACTAGCTGTGTTGTTGTTTGTTTTTAAGTAGTGTTTTCTTCATGGGAGAGCTATATGCATATTGGTAAAAACTGAAAGCTGTAGGACCAAATAATCTATTTAATCTCTTTCTTCCAGGGAACAAATAGAAGAATTTTTAAAGAATGAAGAAAATGAAAGTTTGGAACTGGAGCCATGTACAGGGTCAGTTTTCTGAAATTGTCTTCTGAAAATGATTTTTTTTTTACTCTATTGAATTAGGAGAGTGACAAGGAAGAAAGATATTTTGACTTGCAGTTCTTTCTTTACTTATTTGTCCTATCTCTGAATGTTGAGAAAGTGTAGTAATCTGTATGAATGTCACGCTCTACTTTGAGCCATCACATCAGCATACATGTTTAAGTACTCGTGTTTAAGTATAGCCAAGATCTGCCTTATGCATATCGAAGCTTCTTGCATACCTAAGCCTACTTTTGCTGTTAACAAAGTGCATGATCTTAATTGTCAGTGTTTGTTGTTGACGCTGCATGTTAAAATTGGCTTTAGTCAGTCTCCTTCCCAAGGTCTATTCAGCTTTGGAATCCAGATGTTTGGAGAGTATGGTTGTGATTTAAAAAAAAAAAGCCATGTGAAGTTAGAGATCATTGTGAAGTGAGTGAAGTTGTGTTGCTGTGTTGATATTCAGTAATGGTGAGTGTGGAGTGTTTGCTAAGAAGAGGATTTGGGGATGGATGTATTACAAAATGTTGTAAATGCTTCCACAGCTTAGTACCTAGCCTATAGGTTTGGGTATCAGTAACTTTTGCCCTTAGCTTAAAAGTCTTTGTACAGATGAGAGAAGCAGCCTTTATTTGAGTATTACTGGTTCAGAATGCATAAGATAAGTGTTAATAACACAATTGTCTTTTGGTTTTAGGTTTCAGAGGAAACTAATTTACCAGACCTTGAGCTGGAAGTAAGTTACTGATAATGCTGCCTTTACTCTGTGATTTCAGTATTTCTGATTTAAAAACAAAATCTGGGTGAGAGCTAATGAGTGATTAATTCTTTTAAGTGACGATTTCTCTGATATTCTAAAGGTTGTGTGTTCTGTGGCTCTGCCAAAATATGGAAGTATTTTGGCAATTGAGTGTGGTTGTGATGCAGTGATACAAGCAAGTAGCAGAGGTAGCAGAATTGGTATTAATATTTCCAAGGGTGGCTTATAAATACTAAAATGAATTACATGTTAAAGGCCTGCAGCCACCAAAGTACTTGTGGCTTCAAGTAAGCAAGAACTTTCTTGCCAGTGTTTTGTCTTTTGCTTTTCTTGAAAGTAACTTCTGGATTGTGATGAAGTGCCTTGGAAGTTTACTCAGTATTGCTTAACTAAGATGTTATGGGCTCTGCAACAGTAGGATGGGAAATTGCATAAGAAACTACCTTAATCTTAGTAACTGTTAAAATATTCTAGGTGCATAAGGAGGCCAATTTGACTGGCCAGTATTTTAACTGTTAACTTTTTATAGTTCTTTTGCATGTAAGACTAAGATTTATAGTAATAATAAACATGAAGTTATGTAATTGCTACTGTGGATTCAATATGCTAAGTGCCAAATAAATAACTGCTGATACTTACCTTTCATTTCTGTAGGTATCCAAAAGGTATCCATGTTGAAACTCTAGAGTCAGATAAGGTAAGCAGGTGTGCTACTGCCTGGGAGCTTTGTCCCGTGGGAAGGAAATTGTACCAGGTCTCACCAACTGCCCTGATTTCTAGGTCTAATCTGAGCTTTCCTGTGCCAAATCTGGAACATTTAAACTGAAATTTGATTAACTAGTTTCTGATCTTTAAATCTGACTGACATTTGAATGATAAACATATATATGTGTGGCTTAATATTATTTAACAGTTAAAAATATAAGTGCCAAAGAATGCTTTAAAATGTAGTGGATCTGACATTTAATGTTGATGAGAAGTAAGTCCATTGGTGAAAAGTAAATCTTGATCTTAGGAGTAATAAACAACAGTCATCACATACTGTATCCTCCCTTCTTAGCCTAGATCTCAACTCCAAAAAACATTTGAAATCCACAGGCTATGATGAAATACTGGTAACCCTTCTTAGAAGTAAGAAGTGTATTTAGTAAGAGATAGGTTTAGTGGATAGCTTTCTAAAGCTGACTTTTGTGTATGGGTGATAAAGTGGTGCTTAGAAGAGAAACAGTCATGTTGCGAAGTAACTGCTGCTAGGTATGACTTAATCTTCTTAACAATTCAATTGGCAAAAACTTGAATGGTCTTTGTGAACTTCTCGGGGTCATTCCTCAAACAATACTTCTTTTGACTTTAGAAGGAGAGATATATTGTTATTAGTAAGGTAGATGAAGAAGAACGAAAAAGAAGAGAACAGCAGAAACAAGCAAAGGAACAGGTAAATATTTGCAGTAAGTTCCATTTCTTTAGTTTGATTTTAAGAGGGTGGGGAAGAATCCGTGCATTCAATCAGCTGTGCAGAACTGCATGTGATAGGGCTTGGGAGTATTTCCTTCTTGCTTAGCTGTTGCTGTTGCTTGAAACTGATTCTCCAAATTCTACTCATTTAACTTTGGCTTTGCAATATAGGAAAAAATCTCAAAATACTCCACAAGATTCTAACATTGCTCCATCTTTAAACAGTATTTAGCCAGTGTTCTGGAGCAGTGAATTCCTCCTTGTATGAATATGCTGTATCAGAGAAGCAAGCTCCAGTCAGAAGAAACATAGGTCAATTGACTTTAGTAGTACTGTAGAACTATAGTCCTTGCAAAAAGCCTTGCAGAATTTCTCAAGCAAGTTTTCACATTATTTGGATTTACAATCTGAGTAGTACTCTGTTACGAAACTCGCTTGCTTTTAGTTGTCTGAGTTAATGTTCTGCACAATTAAAGTAATCTGATTCTTCTCGATTGAATGGTGCTGCACATGACTACTGTAGTAACAACTTGACTGCAAAGTTATTTGTGGTATTCAGGCACTCAGCATTTATGGGACTTGGTACTTGTGCTTACTGAGCGTGAGGAAAGTTTCACGATGTACCAAGACTTGGACTGTGGGAGGTGTTGATCACGCTTTTCTTTTTAACTTGCTGTTATTTTGATTCACTTGTCTTTTTGCCTTTCCTTCTAATTATTTGTTATTTTCTGTTTATCTTATTATTATCTAATTATTATCTAATTATCTTGTTATCTTCTTTTTGTCCCTTGGAGAGGGGAGTGAGCAAAAGGCAGTGTGAGTGTTTGGCTGCTGGCTGGGGTCAGCCCACAGCGGTAGCTCGCAACTTGTCCAGCATTACAGTGATCCAGAGATGCATTAAAACTGGAGTAATCTCAGTGGCATCTGGCTTTGGCCCTGTGTGTCCCCAAACTTCTGCATTTCTTTTGTGGTCTCTTATTGCTTATGTCTGAAAAATGGTATGAGCCAAACTGGGATTAAAATTTTCAGTGTACGCTGGATTGTGGAAGTGGTGGAGTCTCCTTCTCTGGAGATGTTCAAGACCTGCCTGGATGCCTACTTGTGAGACCTGGTGCAGGGAGCTGCTTTGGCAGGGGGTTGGACTCGATTGTCTCTGGAGGGCCTTTCCAACCCCTACGATTCTGTGATTCTGTTTGCAGGTACCATTTTGATGATGGTTGTATTTGTATTTCACTAATGCCAGAATCTTTGCTTACAGGAAGAACTGAATGATGCAGTAGGATTTTCCAGAGTTGTTCATGCCATTGCAAATTCTGTGAGTTGAGATTATTTTTAATGTACTTTTAGCTGTAAGAAAAATAAATAGTTCCAACAAAGGTTATTTTCTTACCTTTTTTGCAAGAGAAGATTAAATACACATTGAAGTTGCTTCCCTTTTTAGTGTTTTCTTTTTTCTAGTTGATGTTGTTATTGTTTTCAATGGTAAGCTAAAGTCATGGACCTACTTATCTGTAAGAGTCAACAGTAGAAGTAAAAGTAGAAAATGCTTACAGCTTTAACAGGATTCTCTTTAGAAACTAAGCTCTGAGCTTTTTTTTTCCTCCTCTGTTCCAAAGAGATTGTTTAACTTTCTTGCAGCCAAAGTCTTAATCAAAAAAGGTCACCTGGGTCTCTTCTTTCTACATAGTTAAAGCAGGCTATAGTTTGAGCCCTTCAGCCTGTTTATTTTCATGTAGTTGAGGCAGTGTGCAGTTTAAAAAAGAAATGTGTATGCATATTGTTTTCTCTACCAAGTTAAGATGTGGGGTAGTGGATAAGGTTGTCATGTCAAATGAAGCAAAGCTAACATTTAAGAAATTTCTTGCACTTTTTTGAGAAGAAACTTCCTTGTGCAGCATCTGGCACAAAAGGTTCCCTGCTTGAGAAGCCATGTCACACCCATAACTATTGTATGTTAATTACAGCCATAGGGAGTATTTTGTCATTTGTTGTAAAAGCTGTAAATTAAAAGGTAAGCAACTGACAGGTTACTTTAATCTTGGGTAGTTTACATTTGGATACCAAGTTGTGAGAAGCTCCCGTAGTATTATCTTCTGATCATTTCAAGATGCTGTATTAAGTGTTGAGAACAGAAAAATGAGAGGAGGGGCTGCCCTGAAAGAATGGAAGGGTCTGTGGGCAGGTAGAGAGCAGCAAGTAGGCAGGTTGGGCTTGTGCTTGTTCTTGGCTGCTCTCTGCTGATATCTGGGACTGTGCTTTTCACATGCTATCATTGATTTATCTGTGCCTGGAAGCGTGACTAACTTCTAACATACTTTTCACAGGGCAAACTTGTTATTGGGCACAACATGCTGCTAGATGTTATGCATACTATACATCAGTTCTATTGTCCTCTACCTGATGTAAGTAATCTTCTCAGTGTGCAGATGAGATTGAAGTCATATATTAAGGCATTTATGTCATCAACTCCAACCTTTCTTTTGAGTGAAAGCGTATGATGGTTTTACTAAGAACTGTAGAGAAGTATTTTAAAATAAACACTTGTGGCTTCTTGGCTGCTGCTTTATCTTCTTAAATCCTCATATAGAAAGCTTAGTTGAATTCTTCTCCTACACTTTCAAAATTTCAAATTAAATGTTAGAATTGAATTGTGCTTTCTGGTCGTATCTGACTCCTTCAGGATCTGCTTCAATAATGGCAGACAAATTTATGTATTTGTTAAGAGACTGGCTTGGAACAGTTGGCTGCTGTGATGATATATAATGCTTTTTCCCCTCTACTTACAAAATTGTTAAATGTCTTTTCATATAATAAAGTAAAATTAATAGAATGATTAGAAATTTGATAGCAGAAATTTATGATGAAGCTCATTATGTTAAAGAGGTGCAATGTCTGAGTAATTGGAGAGAACATGTTTTCATGAGCACCACGGGGCAAGTCTAACAATTAAGATAGACTGAGTAATGTACTGGCACTAAAAACAGTGTGTGAGAAAGCCAAAGCTCCCTTTGAAGGGATGGGCTGCATGGTGGTTGTGTCACTTGCAGTCCTCAAGGGCTGGTGGATGTTATGGGAAAGACTTGAGTGGCAGATGAGAGAAAGCATCTGTGACCTGTCTGGACAGTGTTGGAACACAGTGTTGGAACACAAGCAGTTATGAGTTGTGCTTGCACTGAAACTTGGATTATATAAACCGTTAGGAAGTCATCTTTCCATCTGGAGTGACTGTTTACGTTCCAGTGATGCATTACGTGCTGGAAATACGTTTTCAGGAGTTTCAGTAAAACTGTTGGAATTACAGGTTATCTAGGATATGTGATAAGGTAGGGTATAGGTGTTGAATAGCATTTCTTTCTACAAATCACAGACAAAACAGAAGTAATTAGTCAGTGTGTAGTTCTGTGTAATTGCAGGTGATACTTACGGTAATGCTGAACAAACATCTCTTGTGGGGCGAGAGTTAGTCACTGCATCTCAGTGAAGTCCAGCTGCAAAGGTGATGAAGGGCCTGGAGCATCTCTCCTGTGAGGAAAGGCTGAGAAACACGGGTCTGTTCAGCCTGGGGAAAAGAAGGCTGAGAGGGGATCTGGCCAATGTTTGTCAATCTCTGAAGGGAGGTGGGAGGCAAATGGATGAGGCCAGGCTCTTCTCGGTGCGCAGCAACGGGCCGAGGAGCCATGGCCTAAAATTTGGACATAGGAGGTTCTGTCCTGACATGCAGAACTTCCTTGTGGGGAGGGTGACGGAGCGCTGGCACAGGCTGCCCAGGGAGGTGGGGCAGTCTCCTCCTGTGGGGATATTCCAGAGCCATCTGGGTGCTGAGCTGTGCGACCAGTTGCAGGGCCTGCTTTAGCAGGGGGTTGCACTCAATGATCTCTTCAGGTCCTTCCAACCCCTCTGATT